GTGGGTTAGCTTCCGGGGGTGGTAGGGAGTTGATGAATAATCGTTTCTCCTCCACAGTGGACACAAGGCTCTTTAGGACCTGGTTGTGACGCCAAGTGCACCGCCCTTGAGTGAGACTGGTCTTACACCCTGTGAGTATGTGCTGAAGTGAAGCTGGTCTGGAGCACAGAGCACATCCCAGGTCTTCATCAACCCACTGATGAAGGTTTGTTGGCGTTAGCAAGATGTCATGAGTGGCTCTGATAGTAAAGCTCAAACTCCTTGCTTCCATGGCCCACACATCCCTCCAGCTGAACCTCCTCCTTTCGACACTGTCCCATCGTGTCCATTGTCCCTGTTTGCCAAGGGAAACTGCCTTGGCCCATCTTGTGGCCTCCTCCTGATGGCGTACTTCCTCCACCACCATCTTCCTCCGTACTGGAGCAGCGGCCTTATTCCAGGCTGGATGGCCAGGTGTTAGACCAAGGCCTCCTCTTCCGTGTTGAACATTCCCCACGATGTCAGCATGTTTTAGAGCTGATGTTGCCTCCTTTGCTGCTGTCACTGGTTTCCATTTTCGCCCAGCAGCCAAGGTTGGTGCATTGCTCCTCATCACCCTGTCTTGGGATTCATACAACGTCATCTGCAGACGGGTTTTGGTGCACTTGTATTCCTCTGTGAGACTGGAGAGGGGCAGCTTGAGGATGCCATTTTCGTAGAGGCCTATGGTGGTGAGGCAACGTGGAACTCCAAGCCACTTTTTCATGTAAGCTGTGACTCTTCTTTCCAGCTTTTCCACTATTGAGATGGGGACCTCATAAACTGCAAAGGACCACAACACCCGGGGTAGGAGACCAAACTGGTAACGCCAGGTCTTCAACTTTCCAGGTAGTTGGGTTTTGTCAATGGACTGTAGGCCTGCATTGATGTCTTTGCGCAGTTGCTTCACTTGGTCTCCATCTTTCAGGCTTGCATCATAGCACCTTCCGAGGCTTTTGACAGGCTGTTCAGATATCGTGGGGATTGAAACATCTCCGGATAAAGAACCTTAGGTCAGTAAGCACTCCTTTCACCACTGAGATGCTGCGCGACTTAGATGGCCCTATCCTCATACGAGCCCAACTAATGTTCTCCTCCAGCTTTCTGAGCAATCTTCTGGTGTATGGGACCATGGTAGTCAGGATGGTAATGTCATCCATGTAAGCTCTGAGGGGAGGGAGGCGTAAACAGGAGCTGACTCGTTGTCCACCCACGACCCATTTTGAGGCCCGAATGATGATCTCCATCGCCATGGTGAATGCCAAAGGAGATACTGTACACCCAGCCATGATGCCCACCTCCAAGGACTGCCATGAGGTGGTAAACTCAGCAGTTGAGAAACAGAACTGCATGTCCTGAAAGTAGGCCTTGACCAGGGTTGTGATGGTGTCCGGGATGTTAAAGAAGAGAGAGACAGGAAAGGCAGGAGAAGAATAGATAAAGACCTGCAGCAAATGGCCATAGTTGGGAGTCAATCCCACGACCGCTGCATCAGGGACTATAGCCCCTGTTTGTGGGTCGCCGTCTTATCCAGTTGAGCTACCGGGGTGCCCATTTTCGTGGTTCAGTGTTATGCTTGATGAATTTCTGACTTCTCAGAGAAGCCCAGTGGCTCAAATTTTGGTATGAAAAGGTGAATTCAGTTTGAAATTCCTCATTCCTGTTCAAAATGGTAAAACGTGGAGAGCTGAGTGTGAATTAAAGTACTTCATGATGCTGGATGGTCTCTGAGACAAATAGGGAAAGACATAAAGTGTTCTCACAGTGTGGTCAAGTATGCTGTTGAGACTGATACTTACAAAAGGCACCAAGGAAGAGGCAGGAAACGAA